CTGCACACACACACACACACACACACACACACACACACACACACACACACACGCCCCATCATGGGAACTCACATCCCTGTCTAGGAACACAGCTTGATCGGGACAAGCAGCAATATATTCCTCTCTGCTGCTGACTCATACAACTGGGGAGGAAGTAGAAAATCCATTTAAGATGTGCCAAACACAGCTTAAATTGGCTTGCACACCCCAACAACCCAAGTTCTTTTTAAAAAAAAAAAATCAATGAAATCTAAAACAATCAACAGCAGTTTGCTCCAACCTCAATGGAGGATTCATTTTGGAGTAGTGAGTTACAGATAAAGTTTGTAACAGTTTTAGATCCAAAGATCTGTTTCAGAGTGAACCAGGAGAAGAAAAGGAAGTTTCACTTGAGAACTAACTTGACAGTACAATATCAAACTGCCTAATCATGATGATAAAGCTGATAGAAAGGACCCATCTCTATCTAAACAACACGAACACGTTAAGAGTGTTAAAAAACAAAAACAGGAGAAGAGTTGAAATCAAACGCATCAAATTCATTCTACTTTTTGAGACAGGGTCTTATGTCACCAGGCTGGCCTCCAGCTTAGTCTGTGTACAGCGAAGTATGTGCCTTTGACCTTCTGCTCCATTCCCCAAGTATTGGGATTACAAGTGAACATTACCTTGTCTGGTCTATGCAGTACTGGGGGTTGAACCGAGAGCTGTGTGCATGTTAGGCAAGCGCTCTACTGAGGGGTCCCAGCCTCAAGCCACATTCATGTCTTTTTCCTATAATTATTTCTGAGTATGTCATATATTGGAGACTGTTTCCAGAAGACTTCCCTGCCTGCCATTCCTCTGGCAACTTTACAAATGTTTCCATCTAAATTAGTCTTTTCCAAATGCATAATGATGGCTACTAAGACCCCATTAATACATGGAGCACATCATTCCTGTATTCAGATGCCTTCACTAGCTAGTGAGTGTTGGACCTAGGAGAATTAACACCTTGCTGATTGCAAGGCCTAGCAGCAGCTACCACAAGACAGATGTGGTCCCGCCCTTCTGGAGCCTCAAGGAAACAGCAGAGGACATATACTATGAGCAAGGCTGTGACAAGAAGAGTCACCATGTGACCACCTAATCTGAGTTCTAGGGGTGTGTAAGGCCCCTGTAGGCATCTAATGCAGAACTGATGGATGATGGGTAGGAGCAGATGAGGCATAAGGGGAAGGAGTTGAGAGAAGAGATAACATCTATGTCTTAGACAAGAGTGATCAGAGTAGGGATACATATGAGTGGAAAGTAAGCTGCAGTGAATGAGTGTGGTCCTGAGTCTGTATCTCAACTCTCACGCTTGTTTTTGGTTTTAAATAAGCGGCGCTGGTTACTGTGCGAGAAACGGCACGACAACACCCAGTATCAGAGCTTTATTAGGAGGAGGGTGGGGGGACAGAAGAGAGTGACCAGGCCTGTGGAAGACACGAGCAGAGGTGGGAGGAGGAGAGAGCAGAAGAGAGGGGAGGAGTCTGTGACCGGCTTTTTAAGGATTTCCCTGCACATGTACATGTGGGCTTACAGAGCTACGCACTGCGTGCATTTATGCAACCACGCAGTGCACTGATGTAAGATGTAAGACCCCTTACTTAGCTACTGAACTGCGCATGTGCGGTCTTATAGCTGGAGTGACAGAATCCTAACAACATTAACATCGACAACTCAAACCAAGCTCAGCATTTTTCATTCAGGAGAAACACCTTTGCTTACAACTTTCACTCTCATCCTCCTTTTCCTCTTGCCCTAAAGTGAACAAATGAAGTGTGTCCATAGTTTTCTCATCCAAGAAATGCATCTCGGATGTCATCTTCTATGCATGTCATCTGCTAGTATAGGGCTCAGCAATCTCATTTTATAAGACGAAGTGGTTGGCCTGCGAAGTCTTAGGAACACTAATCTGTAACCTATGAGCTCCCTAATTTAAAAAAATCTGGCTTTCCTGGAATTGCTGTGTGATCTTGAGCCAGGTTACTTAAACTCTCTGTACCTCAGTCTCCTCATTTGTAAAATGGGGACAATGGCAGTGATTATGTCAAAGGGATATTATGAAAAATAAATTCCTGTGTTTAGAACAGTGTTTTGTCCATGGCATTATTAAACAGTGCTTGTTGTTATGATCCAGGCAAGTCACACGGCTTTGATAAAACGCACACTGATTATTATAACAGGCTCTGATACCAGAGGAAGCCTGAAGTTGAGCATGCAACTTAAGTCCTTTGCTAGCATTTGGCAAATAATGACCAGCTTAGAGACATTCCTGCAGATGGACAGACACAGACCTTTGATGTGAAGGTGCCCCTAAGAAAACAGGGAGCAAAGAGACCAAGTCTGAAATAATAAAAAGTCACAGAGTAGGGGGAAAAAGCTACATTGGAGTCGAGCCTACGGAGGAATCTGAGTTCCTTTCTGAATACAATGCCCAGGGAGAAGTCCCACGCTCAACTAAACAATCTCCACACAAAGGGGAGAAAATATAAACAAACTGCAGAGAAAGCCCCAAAGATGAAATGATCAGAAACGTTCTCACAGGAGTCTCTCACAGTCAGGAAGAACTTTGTGTGTTAGGGTGGGCAAACTGTCAACATGAGAAGGAGCGCTCTGATGCCTCCCCTCTATACCTATGTCCCCTGTCCCTGCCTGCCTTCTCTGCATGGTGATCCATTTGAGTTCCTGCCACTCACATTCATACTACAAATTCATCATAGCAGTGATGTCATTTATTGATACCATGAGGGCCTTGAGGCTTAACTTCTACTGCTTCGTATTCATAACAGCCTTCATGGTAGATTCTATTTCTGAATTATAGATGAGCAACCTGCCAAGGTGAAATTACTTGGTAGGTGCCAGAGGATACATTTAGGCCCAAGGCCATCTGTTTCCAGTGCTCATACTAATCTTTACCTTGCTCCCTCCACGTTTGTCCTGGGTATCAAGTGCATTGAAGGCATTCACTTTCCTGACCATACAGGGGAGACCTGGCAGGGAACTCTTTTTCAGTTAGCAGCCAATGCACATAACCCCAAATAAGCAGACCACCAAAGCCTTCTCAGTGTGGTTCAGAGGCATCTCCTGCCATTATAGGGTATTTAGAGATACACAGAGCACTTGATAGGGTCTCTCAAGCCTGCCCCCATGAAAAAGACACAGGCAAAACAAGAGTTAAGATACTAACCAGCTGACTCACCGTAAGATCCTTAGAGGAGCCTCTCTGATTTTGAGACTTGGTCCTGGGCTGGAATTCTATAGGAATTTTGTGATTTTGCTATCAAGTCAAGGATATTCTGCTGTTGATTTCTGATTCAGGTGTATTCTGACCAGAAAACTCTCTTATTTATGGGGGTGTGCTTTGTAACATTCATATAACTGGGGATAGGGTTCCACGAGTTTCTGAAGACTTTAATAGTATTCTTCAAGCCATGTGTATTTTTACGTGGTAGTTTTCTGGTACTTGGAGACTTGTCAGTTTCTTCCTTTTACTGTTGGTGTTGTATTTCATGGCTTTTGAAGGACTGATGTTATTACATGGGCAAGCCTTGTGAATGAGATTGCCTAATAAGATTTTACTAGACGGCTCCTTATCTCCACAAAAGACTATCATGATCCCCTAAACATTTTTTGGCATTAAAAGTACTTTTCCAATGTAAACACTATAAAATTAGTTTCTTTTAGTTAGTTTAGTGTATATGTTTCTATTGCTTTACTCTCAAAATGATGTGTCCATTTAGTTTCTATATGTAGTCTATGAAAAGAGTGCTAGGTATATGTATGTATTTTTATGCATTCTGGGATCCCTTGTCTTTTTACATGTATTTGGTATGTCTTCTATCACTTTATTCTCTCTCTCTCCCTCTCTCTCTCTCCCTCTCTCTCTCTCTCTCTCTCTCTCTCTCTGTGTGTGTGCCATGATTTTCTTTGTCTTCACCTGTTCTCTGTGTAGTCTTCTGTTGACTTCCATCATCTCTTGCCCTTTAAGAAGGTGATATGTGTCACTTGTCTCTTCTCAGTGTTAGTCCTTGTATTTACACATTGATTTAACACTACCTAAAGATAATCCCCCATCGTATTCCATGGAGTGTTGGTCTCTGAAGACGATGGCGTACATTAAAGGAATTCAGACACTTGCTTCTGGAAAAATGTTAGACACTTTCACATCTTCTCAGTAAGCTAAGCAACTGAGGCAATGTTGGGGTCCAAGACTGATGCAGAGGCAGGAGTTTGCAGTAAGTGATGGCACTGTAAGTCATATGCAGAATCCTTCCTGTTCCCCCTTAGTGCTGGCCAGTTGCACAACTGAGTCAGCTCATCCACGTTAATGGAAGGGTAGAGGGTGAGACGTTAGTGTCTATCCTTGTCTTTCCTCTTCAATATTTCACACTTTATATCATAAACAAGTGCAGCATTATACTCATTCTACTTTGGAGTGCTCTAAAGCAGTTACACTTATTTTTTCTTTTTAAAGCAGCAATCACCATCATGTAAAAAGAGCAAAGGAAAAGTGAGTAGGCAAATGTTACTGTCTTTTCTATGTTGAGGAAATTCATATCCCATTAGAATCCTCTTGTACTTTGAGTAAACATGGTAAAGATTGGGGAAAGGTAGCAGATTAATAGTTGATATAGTTAATATTTATAGTTAATATAAGGATATAGTGTAGTAGCAGATGTCAATCATCATGAAGTCTCCACTTCTCCAGTCATGTGCATTATAAAATTGTCATATGTATATTGTGTGTATATATTTGTATTTTATAAAGGAAATGACCATTCCTTTCATTAGATTCTTTAAAAGGCTCATATGGTCTATTATCCACTATTGTTCTTCATATTAGAAAAGCCAGGTAATGCTTGGCATGTGCTGGGTCTCATCCTCTGGACTTTGGTGTTTATTCATTCCAGAGGAAAATGTGTGAACTCATAAATGTATGCGTTTATTTATTCATTGTCTTTCTCTTTTAAAAGCTTCCTTCCTACCTGCTACTTTAACTATGACTGTGGACAGGGGAGATAATGTGAGCATATCTTTCAGAAAGGTGTTAATTAAAGAAGAAGATGCAGTGATTTATAAAAATGGTGAGTCTGTTTCATTCCCTTCGGTCACTGTGGTATGAGGCACTAGATAATATCTAACACATTAGATATTGGCATATTGCAACTTCAATGGTAGTTGTCTAAAAAGATGCTATGATTCACCTATCAAATTTTATCTATAACAGAAGCCCTCTGAGACAATGTGCTTGATTATTTAATTGATCAAATGGAGGCAGGGATTCAAATATCCATGTACATACATGCATACACATATAAGTTATAGGTGCATACAATAAAAACTGTCTGTGACATAATAAGTAAAGTCTCAAGTCCTCCCAGGTAAGAAGTGAGGTTGCCTGACTGTGAGGTTATTTGATGGTAAGGAGAAACAAATAGCAGTGTTTGAGCACAAACTGTTTTCTTCCACTTCTCTCCCTTGCCAGGTTCCTTCATCCATTCAGTGCCCCGGCATGAAGTACCTGATATTTTAGAAGTGCACCTGCCTCGTGCTCAGCCCCAGGATGCTGGCGTGTACTCGGCCAGGTACATAGGAGGAAACCTGTTCACCTCGGCCTTCACCAGGCTGATAGTCCGGAGTAAGTGATGTAGAGGCCTCCATTCTGTACGGGTGTAGTTGTCAGGATTTGTAGTTGCAAGTTATGGAAACTGACAGTACTACATAAGCAAAATGGAGAGATGGGGTGGCAGGAGACCAAGGACTCTTGGGAATTTGACACAGAGGCTAACAAGCAAGTTGCAGAAAAGATAGACTCTAGGGAAAATGTGGGGTTCAGAGATAGTGGGGTTGGGCTAAGCTTTTCATCTAGGAGTTTTCTATTCCTACAGTTAAGGTCCACAATGCTTTACCTCTGGGTTTTATATTCCCGGTAGAAAGAATTAGCTTGGCCTAAATACTTAGATGTCTACCAGCCTTAACAGGGAGCTGTATGTGAGAGTAGAGCCAGGAAACAGAAGTCATAGTAGTATCACAGGACCGTCCCCATTAGAAGGGGAGTTGCGCCTTTAATCCCAGCACTCGGGAGGCAGAGCCAGGCGGATCTCTGTGAGTTCGAGGCCAGCCTGGGCTACCAAGTGAGTTCCAGGAAAGGCGCAAAGCTACACAGAGAAACCCTGTCTCGAAAAAAAAAAAAAAAAGAAGGGGAGTTGCAGTGAGGAGGGTGGTCTCACTGAGTAGGATTAGGTCATCTGGGCTCCTAGGTAAACATTAGTTCCTCCAAGTCCCATGTTAGATCATTTAACTCTCTAATGTGATCTTTGTTTTTAGATTTGAAAGTTGCAGGAGTTAGAACTAGGGAAAACTTTCCTCTTCCCTATAATTTAATTATCAAGTATAATCATCAAGGTAGAAGGAGCCAGCACCAGTAATTTTTATGTAGAAATTGATTTATAGAAAGCAAGAGACTTGCCTTGAATTTCCCTCAGCCATTCCAAGTGATCTGTGCTATTAATCACTCAGGCCTTTGGGTCTAAGTCTCTGTCATTCCTCTGATGATGGAGCTCTTTAATTCATGAGGGTAATTTATTTTGCTTTGCATTATGTTCATTCATTCATTCATTCATTCATTCATTCATTCAATAAAGAGTATTGATAAGTGTATTGAAAAGCATTGTGTTGGTGTTAAAGACAGAGTATAACACAATAAACCCCTATCCCTTGGGTAATTCCCAGTCAGAGCAGGTATGTATATAATTAGATAAATCAACATTACAATATAGTGGAAGAAGTATGAAAAGTGTGGTTCACCTAGTTTATGTCCCATGCCAAGACACCTCAAGAGATAAAAAGTAAAGTAAGGTATTTTATAGTCAGGATAATTGGAACTTGACTCAAGAGAAATCTGCCCATGTTCCCAAAACTGGTTTCTTGTGCAGTGTTCATGATAAACCAGTCTTTAAAGGCACAAGACAGGATGTTAGCAGATCTATAGGATTCAGCTTTTGATGTCTAGCTTTTCAGTTACTTCTTGAACCAGTTCCCCTTTACTCCACTACACAGGACAGCCCAGATGGTAAAGGAACAATTGCATTCATTGTTTAAGATAGTTCTTGTTTAATATAATGCGGTATACTCAAGGCCTCAGAATCTGGGACAAATGGGTGTATTGTCTTGGACCAGATATTAGACTGGTATATATCTGTTTGAGTATGGGAAAAACAGAAGGGCTTTCCTACTCTTAACTCTCACTTGAACACACAATTTCTGGCACTAATGAGTGGGTACCACCACACCAAAAAAGTCTCCAGAAGATATCACCTGGGAATCTCACAGTTTAACTCTGTTGTGATTCTTCCTGGAGATAGTATCAGATCCCACAGGTAAGGGCTCAGTTACCTATCATTGCCCTTATTTTGCTTGCAAGTTGAAAAACCACAGATTGTGCCCCGTGCTTCTGACTGAATAGCTGTAATCACGGTTTCTCAAGCTTCTCTTCTTTGTTTTGGTGAATTGCTAGATCATCTCCCAGAACTCGGAAATAACTCAGGTTTATTATAGAGAATACTAAAGAGGATTCAGATTAATGGCCACAGGGCAGAGATACACAGGGCAAGGTGCAGGAACAGGATAGGTAGCACTTCCATGCACTCTCCAGGAAACTTCTAATCCAGAAGCTCTCTCGATTTTGTTCAAATCATTAGCCAACCTTCAACCCTTAGCCCTTCCTAGAGGTTACAGGTGGGACTTGGTGTTTCTGGTGAGCCTTATCATAATGTTATTTAAAGGCCCCTTCACCACTATAATTAGTCATCTCATTAGCATCTCATTAGCATACAAAGGCATCTCATTAGCATCAAAAGGTGTTCATTGTTTTGAAGGTTTTAGAAACAGGGTACCAGGAACCAAGTATAAGAACCAAATTTTATTTCTTAATTTATTACATTGTCATCTGGAAAAATGTTTTAAATCTTTGCTTTTTTTCTTTTTTGGTGAGACAGGGTCTCATGAGAGTCTTCTGGTTCAGACTCCCAAGGCTAGGCTTATAGACCTGAGCCACCATGTCTAGTTCACAGCTGTTTGTAAGTGTCAAAACATGAATAGAGATTAGAATCTGGAGCTTATCTGGCCTTTTCTCATAAAGCAAAAGATCACATTTTAATCTCCATACTGTTTTCTGGTTGGAGTAGATGATGATGCCTCTGTGTTAGCATATTTAATGAAGCTATTTGAGAGGTACTGCTGTCTAGAACCATTCAAAGGAAGTTCGAGTGGGGCTATAATCTCCCTATTTAACAGTAATTCCCCAATATGACTCATTTCACGTTTAGCGAGGGAAGCTGGAGGCATTTTTTCATTTCCCATATCCACGAGGCACCTCTTCTGTGTGGACTAAAGCAGATGATGCTTTAACATTTTGTGTAGAAACTTCACTGATAATATTTACAGATGTCAATATAAACTTTCTCCTCGACAAAAGATTTCTCATAACATAGGTTTCTTTTTTTCCTTTGTGTGCCATGGATATATGGTTTCTTAAATACAGAATCACAAAGCTTAAAAGAAAAGCTAAGTCACATAAGCGAATATTAGTTGATTACCAACAAACTCAACTTCTCCATTCTAAGAGATCACCCTTGCTATCCTCTAGAGTTGTAGTATTTCTTCCTTCCTGGAATTGGGGATGAGGCTGGGCTACATCCACAGGCAGATACTAAGCTGGGGAGCACAGTTTCCTGCAAGAGGAGCCTGTTCCACTTACATCATCTGACCTTATGTTTAGCATGTGCAAGTGCCTGGTAGCCTGGCTCTCACTATTTCTGCAGAATTCTTTCTCCTATTGTACGCCAAGGAACATAACTGTTAGCTCTCAGACACCGTGTAATTTTATCTATGAAGTGGAAGGCTGTAAGCAATGGTGTGTGTTGATAGTCTTCCTGATTATGTTAGCGAAAGTACTGATAGCCAGGAGTTCTTGCCAAGGAGGTTTGGAGGTTACATCAGCTGCAGGCATGGATCCAAGCACTGTGAGACTAGTGCTTGGGGACAATGATACTAGTTCCCTACAGGAGAAAAGTGAAACTAAATTTTCAACCACAAAGGGCCATACCAGTGCTCCTGAGTTTTCTGTTTATTTGAAGTTATTCTTGAGTCTAATTAACAACCTAAAAATCACCAAGTATTGGAAGTAACAGGGAAAGATCTAGGAAGTGTTTGCTACCTTGAGCTGAGTTTTGCCTGTCTTGGTATTTTGCTTCACTTGTTTTTTATATACTTTCCAGCTGAAATAGTGTATGCAACTGGCTATTTCTTCTCTTTGGACTTAGCCCTCCTTCGCCTACTCCATGTAGAGTCAATGTACAGGCTTGCCGGCTGCAACTTCCTGGCACAAGAGTGTTTCATTCCAATGTTGTGGGTCTGAGGTTTGGGTTTTAAGCAGGTTCCTCGGTGGTTGAGATGCCATGGATCTGTCTTGGACTGTGCCATGAATACGCCAAATCTTCTCCCTCACAGTGCCTCTGCCCGGGACACATTCTTTAGCCTCATCCTCCTTACCGCTTTCGTGGTCCTGCACATCCGATTTGCATCCCGTTCCCATGGAAAGCCTTCCTTTATGCCCTTTCTATTGGCAAGGCAGGATTTGGTACTCCTTGTCTCTGCTTCTATCATTATTTACTGTTTAACTCTCTTCCCTCCTATTACACTAGTGTCTTTCAGAGACCAGAGACTATATTTTCTCTTTATTCCCCATTGTCCACTAAAATGACTGTCATGTATTAGTTGTTTAATAACAGTTTGTTGAGTATTCCATGCTTTACATTCCATCTCCATGTTTTTCTTAACAAAAGGATGTGAAACTCAGAAGTGGGGGCCCGACTGTAGCCGTCCCTGTACTACATGCATGAACAATGGTGTCTGCCACGAAGATACCGGAGAGTGCATTTGCCCTCCTGGGTTTATGGGGAGGACGTGTGAGAAAGGTAAGTGAATATACTTGATGACTGAACCATAGCTTGAAAGAGCCATCATTATTGAATGGAGTTTTACATCTGGACATAGATGAGAAGGGGGCTAAAGGGCTTTTCTTATGTCTATGGTACCGTCTTTGTGTGGACTAGATTCTTTTTCTAAAGGTTATTTATTGCAAACCACTGGAAAGTTATAACAAAACACCAATCTGTGGTGCTGCAGTCAAAGTGAAGGTTCATAACCTGTGAAACTGAGTGGTGGCCCCGAGCCCCTCTTTGTGAGGTGGTTTTGTTTTCTGGAAAGTGGATCATGATGGCAGGCTTGTCCCTGCCGCTACCAGCACCCAGATTAGAATTTCTCTCTCTAGGGGAAACTTTAAAAGGAGAGTTTAGCATTTTAAGGGGTTGCAATTTGCTTTCTGAATCAGTCTTTGTGTCTTTTCCTCCCACAGCTTGTGAGCCACACACATTTGGCAGGACGTGTAAAGAAAGGTGTAGTGGACCAGAGGGATGCAAGTCTTACGTGTTCTGTCTCCCAGACCCCTATGGGTGTTCCTGTGCCACAGGCTGGAGGGGGCTGCAGTGCAATGAAGGTATGCACCACTTAGACTGGGAACAGAGGAAACTCAGCTGGTGTATGGAGGCCACGCAGTTAGCTGATATCACTGAGTAGGGTGCATCAGATTTCTTTGTTACTTACTTATGGCTGGATATAGAGATTTAAATCATAGTCATTTTCAAGAAAAATACATTAGATTGGACAGTGAAACTCTGGACCTGGGGTGTTTCTGGACATGAGTAGGTGTTTCTCACGCATGTCACCTAGGGATCTTGTTAAAACACAGATTGTAACTTGCATGGTTCTGGACTGGGGCCCGAGGATTGGCATTTATATTGCATCTCTAGGCAATTATGTTACGGTTAGGTTTTCAACCATGCTTTGAATAAAAAGATTAAGGAAGATTTTATTTTATTTGTCTTGTGCCATAAAAATCAGGCTTTAGGACAGGTCCAGATAACATTTAAGGTTCAAAAATGAAGTTAACTCCTGTCACTTCATGGACCTTACTCAAGAACTAATGATTGCCACTGCCAAATTCATTAACAAATCCATTATCTCAGACTTCTCTTTGTGTGTATGAGAAACCTTGAGATCTATGCTCACCAAATTTAAAGTACACAATGCTGTATACCTGCCTGTACTTAAAACACTACACCTCTAAGAAGGTACTTAAACAGCACAACTGTAACTTTGTACCCTTGACTAACATCTCACAATTTTCCCACTAATCCCTATAAACAACTGTCCCATGCTTCTGTTTCTTTGAATTCCATCTATAAGAGAGAGTGTAAAATATCTGTCCTTCTCTGTCTGGTTTATTCCACTTAAATAATGTGCATTTGCTTGTGTTTTTAGGGCACTTCTACATTATTTTTTTATAGTTACATGCCCGTGAACAGTGTGTAAGTGTTCTGTTCTTTATACTCACCCATATTTGCTATCTTATGTCATATCAATAATAGCCATTTTAACAGATGCAAGATGATATCTCATTGAATTTTTAATTTGTGTTTCCTTAAAGTTGTCTGACTATGGGTTGCCAGTGATGACACCAGGGCTATGTGCATGTCAGGCTGCATCTCTCCCCTTTGCCTGACCACCAGTGTTATCAAACATGTTTTCATGTACATATTGGCTAACTATACATCACCTAAGAAGTGTCAACCCAGGTTCTTTTGTTCCAGTGAAAATATTCCATTGGAACTTTAATAGAAATTATACTGATTGAGCTGAAAATCCAAGTTGCCTCTTGGTTCCTTGAACATGTTGTCAAGTTAAAACTATCCACCAGAAAAAAAAAAAACCCAAGGGACAATATTGTTTTTAAATTAGTTTTCAAGTAAAAGTAATTCTATAGTTGACCAAAATAAGAACAGTTCATCAATGGAAGTCACTCATCGTCTAACATTGTTAGGGTGTTGTAGACGAATTTCCAGTCTTGTTAAATAGAAACACAGAGCCAAGTACAGAGGGAATAGCCAAAGAGATCAGAGCAATAGCCACGACTAGCCTTAGCTTACCAACAGCAGTAGCTTCCACAGAGAGAGCTTCTTCCTGTCTAACTCGTGTTTTTATTGCCTTCCTGTTCTGCCTTATCATTGGTTCTAAGCCCAGCCACATGACTTCCTCATCACTGCCTGTCTATACAGACCTCCAGGTCTCTATGGTTGGTACTGGGATTAAAGGCTCGTGTCACCGTGCTTGGCTACGTCCTTGACCACACAGAGACTCTGCCTGCCATGTGATCAGATTAAGGGCGTGGGCTACCACCGCCTGACTTCTGTTTATGGCTATTTGACCTCTGATCTCCAGGCAACTTTATTTATTAACATACAAATAAAGTATCACATTTCAGCACAAATAAAGTATCACCACAGAGTGTTGTCCAAGGAAGTTCAGAAGTTCAGTAGTCCTTACAGGAAAGGTACAGTTCCTGCTCCCCTTGAAGGAGCTTTGCAAAGTTCAGAAGTGCATTGAATGGCAGAAATGCTCTGTCTTCAGGAGAAAATAAGGGACAAGGAAAGAAAGCTAATATCATCATAAATTCCGTTATTTGTAGTTTTTAGTAGTTTAACAGATATTTTTCTTTATATTTGCCCTGCTTGGTGTTTCCTGAACTATCAGATGTGCAAATGTCAACAGAGTGGCAGAAATCTAAAGCGCTATTTCTGTTTTAAAACGTTATTGATTTTGTGTATGTGTGTGTGAATGTGGGCATGCCTACATGTGGTCATCAGAGGATGACTCCCGAGAGTCACTTCTCTCTTTCCACCGTGTGGGCCCCAGGGGTTGGGTTCAGGTTGTCAGTCTCAGCAACAAGTGCCTTTGCCCGCTGAGACAGCTCACTCAGCGATTCTCAATCTGTGGGTCATGACCCCTTTGGAGGTCACATATCAGATATCCTGTATATCACATGTTTACATTACGATTCATAACAGTAGCAAAGTTACAGTTATGAAGTAGCAATGAAATACTTTTATGGTTGGGAGACACCACAGCATGAGGGTATTAAAGGGTAGCAGCATTAGGAAGGCTGAGAACCACTGAAACCAGGCCTAAAGCAGTCTCTACAATATCTTTTCTACGGTATTCTTTCCACACTAAGGTGTTTCACCTTACAATATTGTTCCGAGGGTGTAGTTGGAAGTTTTTCTGTGTCCTGCCTGGCCCGTAGTCGGGACAAATCTCTCACCCACAGTCCCACAGCCTTTTATAAAATAATCACACAAAGGCTTAATTTTAATTATAACTGCTCAGTCATTAGCTCAGACTTATTACTGACTAGCTCTTACACTTAAATTAACCCATAATTTTTATTTATGTTTAGCCACGTGGCTTGGTACCTTTTCTCAGTTTTGCCTTGTCATCTTGCTTCCTCTATGTCTGGCTGGCAACTCTTGACTCAACCTTCCTCTTCCCAGAATTCTCCTTGTTTGCTTATCCCACCTATACTTCTTGCCTGGCTACTGGCCAATCAGCATTTTATTTATCAGCCAACCAGAGCAACACATTCACAGCATACAGAGTGACATCACCCATCACGAGGGCCCTGATCATTGCTTCCATCCCTTTTCTCCTTTTCTTCAGGCTGAATGTCTGTGGGTATAGCTTCAGACTTGATGTTTTCTTTTTCTGTCTCCACTCTGTTTCTGAGTTCACACAGAATTTCTTCTATTTTAGATACAGGAATTGTCTTAGTTGCTTTTCTATTGCTGTTTAGAAAAAAAAATACCCTAAGAAAAGCAGCTGAAGAAGTAAAGGGTTTGTTCTGGGTTATAATTCAAGAGTACATTCCATATGGTGGGGCCATCAAGTTAGCAGGAGCTGGAAGCAGCAGGTCACATGGCATCCACAGTCAGAAAGCAGACAGTTATGATGCCTTTGCTCAGCTCACTGGCTCCTTTTTATGTATCCCTGGATCCTAGCTCCTAGGATGGGGCCAGTCACAACTGGCAGGTCTTTGTCCTTCAGTTAACCTTATCAACACATTCCCTCACAGGCATGCCCAGAGTGGCTCATTTCTCAGGTGTTCTAGATCTCATCAAGTTGACAGTTGAGATTATTAATCACTGTGGTTTTACATTGTAGATTTTTTGGGGGGTGGGGTATTTTTATATTTATTTGCTGAAATTTCTCATTGCTGTGGATGTACTATCTTTGACCTCACTGAACATAATTATTTATACTTGATTTGAAAATCGTGTCTTCTCTTTCTAATATTAGTTCCTTACAGTTAGTTGCTATTGAGTTTTTCTTTCTTTTTCTTTTTTTTTTTTAAATTGAACACAGTTCTCTATTGCTTCTTATGTTGAGTAATTTGAAATGTTACCATGAGCACCTAATATTACATTGAGGGGATTCTGGAGCATGATATGTCCCTTAGTGGGTATGCTCACTTTGTTATTTTACTAGGCAACTAACTTGGTAGGACTCAAGCTATAGGCTGTGACTCTTAGTCATCAGGTCAAACTCTATTCAGTTCTTTCATCTTTACCTGGGCTTCTCCCAGTATGCTGAGCATGCGTGGTTCAAGGGTTAGCCAAAGATCTGAGTTTTCTTTCCAACTCACTATTTCCAATTTCCCTTCTCTCTTCAGCTACTGATTTCTCTAACTCTCTCCTCCAATTTGTCAAGCCAATGAAACAACAGATTTTGTGTGTGTGTGTGTGTGTGTGTGTGTGTGTGTGTGTGTGTGTGTGTTTTATCCTCTTACATGGTGTCAATTGTTCCCAACACTTAAGCAAAAAGCTGAAAAATGAGAAATACACCATACCTATCTTCTAAATTTCAATTCCCCTTTAGAAGTCCCCTGGTTTCCTCTGCCCCACATACCTTCTCTGGTGATCTCATGTAGTCATTTTCTGAATATTGTATTTAGAAGTGTGTCCTGGTAGAAAATTACTGAATTCTCCAGAAACAAAATTGCTTAGCCTTTAAATCTCAGTAAAGCTCACGAAAGATACACTACTGTATATAAATCAGCAAAGTTGATAGTGTGGAAGGACATCAAAACTAGCCGTTGAGAGGCTTAGTTGCCTTTCTTCCTCTCTACTAACATTGCTCTATGATGTCTTTGTTCCCAGCATGCCCACCTGGTTACTATGGACCAGACTGTAAGCTTGGGTGCCGGTGCAGCAATGCTGAGAGGTGTGATCGGTTCCAAGGCTGCCTCTGCTCTCAAGGACGGCAAGGGCTGCAGTGTGAGAAAGAAGGTAAAGCAAGGTAACACTGTGGTTAGGGTCACGTTCAGCAGGTCTGAGGAGAGCCCTACCGGTGCAATTCTTGCCCTGGCATCCTAACATCCTCTAACTATTTCTTACACACACACACACACACACACACACACACACACACACACACGACAACAACAAGAGACAACATTCTAATTCTTTCTAAGGATTTGTATTAGTTTCTTTTCTATTGCCATGGTAAGACACCATGACCCCACAACTTAAAAAAAGGAGTTTAACTTAGCTTATGGTTCCTGAGGGTTAGAGTCTCTGATGTCAGAGTGAAGGTATGGCTGGAGATAGTTGGAGTAGTGTTGGAGAGCTCACATCTTGATCCATAAGCAGGAGACACACACACACACACACACACACACACACACACACACACACAGGGGGAGAGAGACAGACAGAGAGAAAGAGAGAGAACAAGTAGGAAGCAGAATACACACTGAAGATGGCCCAGAGGCTTTTAAAATTTCAAAATTTAAAATTTTTAAAAATCCCCAGTGACCCATCTCCTCCAACAATGCCATATTGCCGAATCCTTCTCAAATAGTTCCACCAACTGGGGACTAAATATTTAAATTCCTAAACCCATGGGCTTCATTCTCATTCAAACCAACACAGGATCCTCAGACTACCTTTGTTTCTTTCTACTCTGAATAAACCAAATGCTTGCTGAGATCTTCAACTGACTGTTCTGATCCCCTTCTGGAGGACCAGACTAGTCATGGATCTGAATAACAGGGGAGCAATTACTTTGGGGGGAATCGGACAAAGAATACTTGGAAAGGAGGATGAAGGAAATGCTTCACTCACTTACCAAGGCTTTTTTGAGGTGTACCCATGCTGTGTGCATGAGCATTTCCTTTCCTTTCCCTGCCTACCATATGTAAATTTCACCTAAGTGCAGCTATAGCCATTCATTTATAAGGTGCAGATTGTGGCTGCTTCTGTGCTCTTTGGCAAGTTTTGAGTTACCATAGAGAACATAGCTTATACAACTGAAAATGTTTGTTCTCTTTATAGAAAAAGTTTGCTAATTCATGCCCAAATGTAATTGTGTAATATTTGAAGAAACATGCTTTTATGGCTTGTAAAAAAAATAGAGATGAGGGGCTGGAGAAATGGTTCAGCAGATAAGAACACTGGCTGCTCTTCTAGAAGACCCAAGTTCAGTCCCCAGCATCCACATGGTAGCTCACAACAATCTGTCACTTGAGCTCCAAGGGACCCAATTGCTGTGGGATGTTCTGTATGGCGAATGTGTTGCTGATTGGTCAATAAATAAAACACTGATTGGCCACTGGCTAGGCAGGAAGTATAGGCAGGACAAGGAAGAGAATAAAGCTGAAAAGTAGAAGGCTGAGTCAGAGAAACACTGCCAGCCGCCACGATGACAAACAGCATGTGAAGATGCCGGTAAGCCACGAGCCAGGTGGCAAGGTATAGATTAATGGAAATGGATTAATTTAAGCTGTAAGAACAGTTAGCCAGAAGCCTGCCATGGCCATACAGTTTGTAACCAATATAAGTCTCTGTGTTTGCTTGGTTGGGTCTGAGTGGCTGTGGGACTGGCAGGCGAGAGAGATTTGTCCTGACTGTGGGCCAGGCAGGAAAACTCAAGCTACACCCAATGTCCTCTTTTGGCCTCCACAGACACAGACATATGTGCAGTCAAAACACCTACACACATAAAAACATTAGAAATAAAAAGCATGTAACACATTTTACTAGTGTAAGTGTGATTTAGAAAGAGATACATTTTTAAATTCAATCTTTGCTCAGAATAAGGCAGATACCTGGCTTGGCTTTTTCTCCTTGTGGCAAGATACCCAAGAAAGTCAGTAAGATTACCCACAAGTGAGGTCACATGATGTAACAGAAAGCCAGAGGGATTCAAGGACCCAGGTTACTCCTGTTATGCTAATCTACTTTTGAGTGAACTAGCTGTGCTCCTGCCTGAGAGAATGACCCCAGTGACCTGGTTGCTTTGCATAGAGGTCTCACCTAAGAAAGCTTTTACTACCTTTTAAATAACATCAACTCACTAAAGGTCAAATTACCATGACACATAACTTTGGGGGACACACTTAAACCAGAATCCAATAATATTATCTGCTTCTGTATTTAATTAAGATAATTAGAGGGTTTTTTTCTGTCAAAGACCCTATACTTTAATTAAAAGTTAATTAATTTTCCACGGTGCAGGTAGTAGACACATGGGGTCCTGGTACCATTGCTTTTGTTAATACCGGGGAATTGTTTTCCTCATTCAACATTGGCAGCACCGTTTTTTATTTGACTGGCCAGAGATTACTTTGGGGGAGTTTATCTCATGTCGCTTTTGTGATCGTGTATAATTTAAATTACTCTTTTCTTATTATTTACATGTCACTTACAGACTTCCCAAACAGTGAAAGAGCCCTCATACTTCCACACTGAGGATTATGTTGTTGACCAGCACCATTATGAGGCCCTCTCCTGAGCCGAGAAACTGTTTGTTTATTTATTTATTTATGTATTTATTTATTTATTTACTTTGTAATGGTACACTTTAAAAAGCAAGGTGGGGACTGAAAGCTAGGTCTGGGGGAGTATGTGGCTACAATGACCATTTTAATATTGAGAATCTTCCTCTCTTTCCAAGTCCATTGAGGGAGCATAGCACCATGGAAAAAGATTGTATTTTGGCTTCAGGAAGACCTGAGCTTGAGCCTAGGTTTTGAGGTCGAGTTCCTTCTTCTATAAAGTGGAGATGACAAATGTGCCCTCAAGTTCACTATGCAATGATAAAACAAAATAGTTGTAAAGTAGGTCTTCGTTTTTCTTCCCCCATTGTTATGATAAAATATTCGGACGAAAGCAATTTAAGAGAAAAAAGGTTTTATGTTGTCTCAAAGTTCAAGGTCCATCCCCAACATGGTGGCCAAGGCAGCAGGAGCTGAAGGGGTGGGGGGTGACATCGAACCCAGAGTCAAAACACAGGGAGCAATGAATGATAGTGATCGGCTTGTTTCCCCCAGTTCAGGATCCTCAGCAGGGAATGTACCACTCAGCGTTAGTGTATCTTCCCGCCTCAGCCTATTCAAGATGATCTCCTGCAGACAGGCTCAGAGAGCCATCTCCCAAGTGACTGTAAATCTTGTCGAGATGAACTCATCTACAGTGAGTGTCCTTAGAGCAGCTATTGCTGTTATGTTGAAGATTGGACTGCATGGTTCTAATATATATATATTTTTTAATTTAGGCAGGCCGAGGATGACTCCACAGATAGAGGATTTGCCAGATCACATAGAAGTAAACAGTGGAAAATTTAACCCCATCTGCAAAGCCTCTGGCTGGCCACTACCTACCAGTGAAGAAATGACCCTGGTGAAGCCGGATGGGACAGTGCTCCAAGTAAGAGCCATGCTTCAGTATGCCTGCTTAGCACCAGAAGATGGTTTCAACATGGTGATCTGTCTTTGAAAGCTGGATTTCACTCCGGACCTTAACCCCTCCCTGGCTGGTGTGTTGGCAGCTTGATAAAGTGCCATGCTCCTGGGGGTGTAGAACTGACTCACTCGCTCTAACTTCCTCTGTATGGGCGGGACTACAGTACCAGACTGGGAGTTTGCCATCATACTGGGGTTGTTAGATCTAAGTGCCAAGGATAGTCCCCATCCTGCAAAACTATCCAACTGTGTGTGGTGAACTGTGCTCAGGTCAGGCTGCTCAAGGCCCTGCCCTCACATTATCTCCATGTTTCTAAATCCTGTATCAGGAAGAGCAAGGTGGCCACACAGGGATAGTGAAACCCATGAAATCAGTAACATTCCTGTGCTACCATGACACAGATTTTGTTATAGTATTAAGGCATGAGCCTAGGGAAGGTCTCTACCAATACTCTATGCCCATCCCAGACATGAGCAATTTTTTAAATGAAAATAATTTTTTCATACAGAATATTCCGATCATGTTTTCCCCTCCCTTATATCCTTCCGGATCCTCTCCATCTCACCACACATCCAACTCCATGCCTTCTTTCTCTCTCTCTTTAGAAAACAAAAAGGCCAATAAACAGATAAACTATAATAAAACAAAACAAATAGAGGGAGAAAACAAAGAAAAATCATGAGAAACACATGCCCACTCATAGACACACACATGCAACCACACAAAAACCCATAAAAACACAAAATCAGAAACCATAAAAGACAAGCAAAAGACAAGTTAGGTTAAAAAAAAAAAAAAAAAAAAATTCATTATGAGCAAAATTTTTCCAAAAAGCACCGCTGAGTTCAATTTGTCTTGGCCTTCTATTGTTGGTCATGGAGCCTCCCTTAAGTGTGGTTTGTATATCCAGTAAGACTCCATTAGAGAAAACAAATTTTTCCTTTGAAAGTGGTTGTCAAATGGTGATAGCTTCTGGTTTAGGAATGGAAGACTGTGTCCACTTCCCATCTCAGCACTGAGACCCCATCTGTCTTGGACATGTACATGCTGCTACAGTGTCTGTGAGTTTATATGTGCATTGGTCCTGTTGTGTCTGGAAGACATTGTTTCTTTGGTGTCTTCCGTCTCCACTGGGTTTTACACAATCTTTTTGCCTCCTCTTCCACATAGCTTCCTGGGCCCTGAGTGGAGGGTTTTGATGAAGACATTGCATTTAGAACTTAGTGTTCCTTTATCTCTCACTCTCTGCATATTGTCCAGTTGTGAGTCTCTGTATTTGTTCCCATCTGCTATGGGAGGATCTGATGTTGGCTGAGTGAGACACTGATTTATGAGTGTAGCAGAATGTTGTTAGGAGTCATTTTATTGCTGGCAGAACAGTGGTATTTGGTTTTCCCCTAGGTTTATCTAGTCCCCCTCACCCTACCCACACCCCCATCTCTTCTCTCTCTCACTGTCTCCTCTCTCTCACTGTCTCCTCTCTATCATTATCTCTCTGTGGATGGACATCCATCTCAAGCCTATCTAGTCTTAGGTTCATGGCCATCTGAGCAGTGTTCACTGTGGGTTTCATCTCATGGAGTGAGCCTTAAATCCATGAACACTCATCAATAGGGGTGAAGACTCTAGGTAGGCACCAGCTGGACTTTTCAGTGTTTGGTGAGTAATGTAGGTGTTGTCTTCATCAATAGGACCTTACCATTAGTTCATGAAGAGCAACAAATAGTCATGGCAATAGCCTGGGTTATTTGGGAAGTTTCCATGAGACCTCTCTGAACAACAACTTGATTAGATATAGCCTAATCCTGGCACTGGAGGTTTCATTTGGTGATAAGAGATTTCTAGTTGGTCCTTTGTCTCTCCCATTATTTGGTGATTCCATTCAAAGTTTTTTCATATGTATATATGTATATGTATATATTTTAGCAATCTTCTACTGCAGTAGGTTTCCATATGATCCCTAAGATGGCTCTTACCTCTCCCTTTCCATTTGATCTTCCAATCCAATCTCCTACCCATTTCTCCATAACTAGATATGCTATTTCTTCTACTTTAGGAGTTTCTTCCCTTCCCTCTAGTCCTTTACTCTATACCCAACATCTGTGGTTATATGGATTATAGCCTCCTTATAGAAGATTTAATATCTAACATTCACATGTAAGAGAATACATACCCCATTTGCCTTTTTGGGTCTGGGTGATTCAGGATGATTTTTTTCTAACTCCATCCATTTATCTGTGAATTTCATTTTTCTTTTACCAGCTAAGTAATATTCATTGTGTAAATATCCCACATTTTCTTTATATATTCTGTTGAAGGACATTTATGATATTTCCAAATTTCTGTCTATTGTGAATAGAGCAGCAATAAACATGGATGAGCAAGTATCTCTGTGGTAAAATGGAGCATCCTTTGGTTATATGCCCAAGATCTTGAAGTAGCTCTATTCCCAGCTTCTTGAGGAACCACCACACTGATTTCCATAGTGACTTGTAGCTGTAACTCCACCAGCAATGGATGAGTGTTCCCCTTATTCCATATCCTCACCATCACGAGCTGTCATTTGTTTGATGTGAGAAGACACACCTTAATTGTGGATGGTCCTAATCTAAAAATTCCTTGTCCATGCTAATGTCCTGAGTGTTTCCCCATAGTTCCCATTTGGGATGTGGTGAGGTTGTGGTCCAGTCCTATAGACTGTGAACATGCCATTTCCCTAGTGTCACTTACTGAAAAGACTCTCCTTGTTCCAATGTATATTTTTAGCACTTTGTGCAGATTAGTTTGCTGTATACCTGGGGTCTGCTTCTCAACGTTCTATTCTATTTGATTGGTCTACGCTTCTTATTTCATGTCAATGATGTGCTGTTTTAACCACTATAGTTTTGCAGTATAGATAGAAATTGTAAGGACTCCTGTGTTTTGTTTTTGCTCAGTTTTTCTTTGCTGTCAATTAGTTGATTAATAAATGCGTGAGCCTGTGTGAGTATATGTGCACTACATGGGTACAAGAGTATTGTTTTTTTCATTGTCATAGAGGCTGCATTTTTAATCTACTGCTGTTTCAGCCAATAATTATGTCTCCAAAGTTACTGGCCTGCTTCTCTGGCAGGGGCCCAGCTGCTCAGGTTGTGACCTGGTGGGAATTCTGTTCCCACAGGCACCAGCTCTGTCACTCACGGCAAATGTAGCTTTTAATAAATCTCTATCATTCTATTTACCAAGAAGACTTGGAAATCAGAGACAAGGGTGAAAACCTGATAGCTCAGAGAGGTTGAACAGCAACTAGCTGACCTCTCTTTGCCATCTATGAAAGAGACTATCTTTCCGCTCTGCCAGACCAAAAACAAACAAAACAAATCAAAACAAAAAACCCCACACCACTCAAAGTCCTTCCTACTACTTCCTGTGCATCTATCATCTTCCAGACACCCTCTGGCTCTCTATGATTACTTTCTGTCAACTAGTTGCTAACTTGGCCTCTTAATCCAAGGTTGATTTTATTTAATTAACACAAACACAAATTTGGGTTTCACAGTATGATTGAATATCCTGCAACACAGGAGCTCAGTGAGGCCAAACAGGGCATCAGATCCCTTGGGACTGGAGTTATAAATGATTGTGAGCTGCTATGTGAGTGCTGTGTACTGAACCCTTGCCATTTGAAGAAGCAATAAATGCTCTTAACCTCTGAACCATCTCTACATCCCCTTTGCTGTCTTGTTATTTTGTTGATTTTTCAAATATAAATTTTGGGGTTTTGCTGTTTGTGTTTTTTTCTCTGTTAAGAATTTCACTGGTATTTCTATAAAGCCTGCACTGTTTGCTTTGCATAGTATGAACCTTTTAACAGTATTTGTTCTTCTTAATCATGAACACAAGCTGTCCTTCCACATCTTTCACCAATATTTGACTGCTTTCATTATAACAGCCTTTCACCCATAGCTAAGGCTTCTAGTTCTATATTGAATAACAAGGGAAGTAATGAGATACTCTAGTCTTGCCCCTAATTCTAACAGAAATGATTTCCCTACTTAATATAATACCAACTATAGATTTGTTATGTATAACTTTTTTATTTTGGTATATATTTCTTCTATTCTGAATTTCTTCAGGACTTTTAAAATAAGGGATGTTGAATTTTGTCAAAGGTTTTTTCTGCATCTAGAGAGATGACTTCATGGTTACAGTTCTTGAATGCTCACGATGTATAATTTTCTTACTTTGTTGTGTCGTTGTATGGTTTAGGTATCCAAGTAATTCTAGATTGGCCAAAGAGTAATATTCCTCCCTTGTATTTTTTATGGGACTGTTTGAAAAACACTGATGTTTGTTATTCTTTGAAGGTTGGCTAATCCATCTAGGTTTGGACTTTCTTAGGTGGGAGAGTTTTGATTACTACTATAGTAGAACTGCTTGTTATAGATCTGTTTAAACTATCTCATTGTGGTTTAATTTTAATAGATCACATGCATCTAAACATTTATATATGTCTTTTAGATTTTCTAAGTTAGTGGATGTCTTAGTCAGTGTTCTATGCTATGCAGAGACAGCATGACCATAGCAACTCTTATAAAGGGAAGCATTTAATTGGGGCTTGCTTACAGTTTCAGAGGTTTAGTCCATTGTTGTCATGATAGGAACCATGGAGGCACACAGGCAGACATGGCGCTGAGAGTTCTGCACCCCATCTGGGTTCATAGGCAGCAAGAAGAGAGAGGCTCTGCACTTGGCTTGCCCTTAAAACCTCAAAGCCCACCCCCAGCGATACATTTCTCCCAACAAAGCCACACTACCTACCCAACAAGGCCACACATCTTAATTCCTTTCAAGTAGCGCCACTCCCTGACGACTAAGCATTTAAATATATGAGCCTATGGGGTCCATTCTTATTCAAACCACCAGAGCAGAATATGTATTTTAAAGTAAGATCTAATGGTTTCTTCATTTATTTAGTATCTATT